TAAAGCCAAGCCCTAGTTGTAATTGTCTCCTTAGGCATGAGAAAAAGAAGTGACATAACTTGGAGGAGGAAAGAACTTAGACCTTCTCTTAGGATCAACTATAGCCATTATTGCAGCTCAACCACTCCTTCTCAAGGAAAAAAACTAAACACAACCAGCCTGCATATAGTCTTCCTTAAGAGTTGAGTGAGAGGTAAGCTAAGTAAAGAAGAGAAAAACCAAAAACAAGGGAGAAGGAATAACCTAAAGGGCTGACTGGATAGTAGGTGAGAGAAGGAAGAAATCGGACTGAGAGAGAAGAACATATCACCAAATCCTTCCTAAAACTATTGTGAACTGTAAGGTATGAACCACAACCTTTCTCCACCATTCTTGTAATTTTGAGACTAAAAAGGAAGATGAAAACCCCAACTAAAACCTAGGAATTTCCAGCAGCTGTTAAGGAAAATTAACTAGGTAGAAGGAAGAAATTGGGGCTGGGTATGGGTCTTAATTCCAAATAAATTAACAAAGAAACTGGATAGTTTTGGATATACAAATTGAATGGGAGGGATGACTATAGAAAGATTTAAATTGAATGCAATATAAAGTGATGAAAAAATATGAATTATAACTATGTGGAACCTAACACCCTGTTAGAATCAAAACTGGAAGTATGTTGGTGTTAACGATGTGAAATTCTGCTTGTATTCGATGAATGGCATGATAATACATTAAGATGATGATATGTGTAGAATTATGTTGTCTTTGAACCTTGAAGAGCATTCTAGAACAAAAAAATAAATAAAAATAGAAACCATGTTATGTTGATGCCCAATTTCATTATGTGATTGATGAAATTATATATTTATATGCCATGTAAATTAAATTGCAACTGCAGCAGAAACAAGACTCCCTCTAGTAATTTTTTGGTTCATTGATGTGTGTGTGTGATTATGAATCGAGAAAATGAGCATACAATTATAAATTATATTGGTATTAAGCCATAATGCAATTGAGAATACATGAATATATGTAGTAGCTATGCTAGATATCGATGTTGGAATGAAGAATTAAGAGACCTTGCTAAATGAACTTGTGTTAATGTTGTTTGATGATAAATGATGAGTGGAGTATGATTCGGGGAGTCCTATATCCACCTTGAGCAAGAAGCATGAGTAGAGGGAAGCCTAGTGTAAGCCTTACTCTTAGTTGAAAGGAAGTAATGAAACCATAAATGATTCCATCGTCGCTGCTAATTTTTAAATCGGCAATGACATGGGTTACGTTGAAGATTTCTAAGTCGACAGCGACTCAGTTATCATCAATAATTTTTGTGTTTGCCGAATTGTGGTGTCTATAACGAATTAGCTTTCACTATTGAATTGTGATGTCTACATCAAATCACTTTTCACTACGAGAATTGTGTTGTTTGTAGCGAATCAACTTTTACTGCTGAAACTGTGTTATCTACAGCGAACTAGCATTCGCTGTCGAATTGTGTTATCTACAACAAATTAGCTTTCACTGCCGAATTAGCTTTCTCTGATGAATTGTGTAGGCTATAATGAATTAGTTTTCGCTGACAAATTGTATATCACCAACAAATCAGTTTCTCTACTGAATTCTGTTTGTCACCAGTGAATTAGTTTTGCTGTCAAATTCTGTAAGTAACCAGTGAATTAGTTTTTGCTAATGAATTGTATGTCAATAGTGAATCAGTTTCGCTGCTGAATTTTGTAGGCCAGCAGCAAATTAGTTTAGCTGCTGAATTCTGTATGTAACTAACTAATTAGTTTTTGTTGACGTAGTGTAGGTTACCAGCAAATCAGTTTCGTTGTTGAATTTTATATGTCCCCAGCGAATCAATTTCGCCATCGAATTTTGTGTAACCAACGAATCAGTTTCATTGCCAAATTCTGTGTAACTAGCTAATCAGTTTTTGTTACCAAATTCTGCATGTAACTAGCAAATCAATTTTCATTGACAAATTGTATATCACTAGTAACCCAGTTTTTGCTAACGACTTTTTGTGGCAGTAGTAGCTTAGCCGATAATGAATTTCACGTAAGAAATGACTTAATGCTTGTAACTATTTCATTGTATAATTGTATAATGTGTGGAACACTGGAATGTGAACATGTGTATTGTGAAATAAGTATGGCAATGAGTTATGTGTTTGTCGAATGTAAATGTGCTAATTTATGATCATTTAATGTATCAGGTAGTGTGACCGGAATCGAACTTTCGACCAGACGAGTACACCACCAGAGGAACAAGTAGGTGATTTCTACCCTCTTCTAGTGTAACGTTAGTTTCTGAAGTGAATTTATTATGAAGGATAGATTGTTGTGTTATATGAAATGCTAAATTGTTATGAATGGTTATATGTGTATTACAAAGGATCTACCATTGTATTATACTGAATGTTAATTATCATGAATGGTTGTATGAGTATTACGAAGGATCTACCGTTGCATTATATTGAATGTTAATTATTACGAATAAAAAATAAATCATCATATATAAATATTCAAGAATGTCATTCATACTCATCATATAATCATCATGCTTAAATTATTTATACTACATGCATATTTAAAATTATCTCACTCAAGCAAAAAGTAAAAGACTAATGAGGATCGCTAAAAGTAACGTCAGGAGAACCTATAATGAATACAAAAAATATTAACAAAAAACTTGAAGTAGATAACATAAATGATTACAGCTCAAAGATTAGAGGCCAAAATGTAATTATAAAATCAAAATAGATCTACCTGATTGATCTCGAACATGTACCAAACTGATCAAACTTAAAAGATCAAGCCCCACTACTCGATCAATCAGTTAACCAAAGTCAACCAATTATTCAACCGAAACCATCCTGACCAACTAGTCATTTGGTTGATCGAGATTTCGGAATCTTGATATGTCAGTCCTCTAAAAATTTACAAATCCTAAAAAAATTCAAACATGTTCCTCGTAAACTTATAACTAAAATCAATCAATTAAACTCAAAACACAAACACAAACTTAAAATCTCTAACATCTTAAAATCTTAAAATCAAATTTAACCACTATAATCAAACATAAAAAAATCAAGATATTACCTTAGATCCTTATCTCCAACTTTCACTTCTTCTTTCCTTTTCCTTCTTCCTCTCTTCTTCTCCAGTTCTCTCTCTCTCAAAGAAATGAATCTCTTTTTTTTTTTTTTTTAACCTCATATATATATATTGGAAGACTTTTAATACCTCTCATGCTAAATGCAATGTATTAAGAATAAAGGGACTGATCTACATGCTGCGCTGCATGCTCCTGCTTGTCCTTTACCCCTTCAAGCTTGCCAATACCACACTCTGGTTTCACCAAAAAGAACGAGACTGATATCTCATTTGATCAATATGCAAAGATGTGGGTCCATCTTCTTTGCATTCCTTTTAATAAAACTAACATAATGAGAAGATGGGCTATGCATACAGGATTATGAAGGGATGTACAATCCTGATGGTTCTCTCGTTGTTCATTAGAATTTGTTCATATAGAGTAGCTTGGAAAATTCTTTTACCATGAGATTTGCAGTCATTCACTGGTGAAGGCTACGCTTTGCTGGTGTTTGAATGTCGTTGTGGATCTTTAATCATCTTCTTCTTTTTTATTTAAACCACGAGAGAAGAACCAGAATAAGAGGGAAATTGAAGAAACTACAATATCTCGTTCCGAACATGGATAAGGTAATAATGTGGTATTCTTTTCTTCACGCATCATGGAATCTTCTTTGAGTATTGTTGTTTGTCATAAAGTTCCTCCACTAAATTCGTTGAGAGATAATGCACTCACACACAACCCTGCCTTGTGCCGGCATGGATGGCCTGACTGGTTAAGGCCAGTTAAAGATTCCATGATGACATTAACTCGATCAATCAGATATATTTTGTGAAGAATATTGATTATGGCCACGAGGGTTTTTCTTTTCTTCTCTTTTTTGATTTTTGTCCAATAGGCCTACGCGGCAGCGGAAATTCATTTCCAGTATATTTGAGGTTTCAAAATGTATTTTGTATTGTGATAGTTTTTATAGTTGTATTTAAAAAGATTATTTTATAAAAAAAATATTTTTAGTTGAGGTTGATTTAATATTTATATACGTCTGGTTAAAATTGTGATTGAAATTGAAATTGAACAAAAAATGGTTTAATATGTTTGGTTAAGAATGTTTTTTAAATTAATGTTATTAAATAATTAAAAAAGATATATATTAATATTGATAGTTTTTAATTTAAATATTGTAAATTTAACTATTGCTATTACATCATGAAATAAATGCTACGTCATCAAGTGATCTCCTTTTAATTTATTTATTGCCATTGAATAATGTTAAAAATTAATTTTTTTTTACTGGATTGGACTTGGTTCAATGTATTTAGCTTTGAGCTCGATCTGGTTTGGCTGAAATAGTGGAGAGAGGCTGTTTTTATAGACAGGAAACCTTCGCAACGAAAAGCATGCAGTTTCTACAACAAAATTGAGTTTTAAACATAGATAATAATGGGGTCCATGCATGAAAATTACAGCTCATTTTACAACCAAATAATATGTTGCAACTATTAAATAAAAATATTGTAGCAGATGCTGAGCCAAACAGGCTCAACCTTGAGACCTGTTATTGGAAATCGTAAGTTTTAAGTACAGGGATCCTTTGAGTTGTGTTTTGTTAGTTTCACACAACAAAAAGATCAAATATAAAAGGGATAAAAATGTTTGTTCGGAGGCACGGAGATAGTGAAATAAATTTGTTGTTGTGATAGTTTTGGAGAGATTTTTTGTCACTTAAAAACATGAAGTACATAACATGTCTATAGCATCTCTGTTTTTTTTTTTTACTTTTTATTTTGAGACAATAACCAAACACTGTCCAATACATGCAATGGAAGTTTCATAACACTGCAATTTGTCGGGCTAGATGCAGTGAAGCTTAATATAATGAAATTGAAGAAATAATCAAACACCAATTACATGATACCTTTCCAACTCACACAACCGAAGAAAAAACTTGCAAAACATTTTCCAGGATTCCAAATACAGTAAATTATGAAGAATGTGTTGTATGCTGATTTTCTCAACAACTTGCAGCAAACAAGTTATGCAGACATGCTGGATTTTGCAGTGCAGCATATCAAAGGCCTTCAAAATGAGGTGGAGGTGAGTGAGACATTTACATCGTGATCAGATATAAATGATGGCTAAATCGCAATGGAAATTGGTGTATTACTTATTGCTGGTCTTCCCCTAATCTTCACTTGATATTGCTTGTCCATCTCTTACAGAAACTCCACAAAGAAATGGAAAATTGTACCTGTGGATGCGAAAAATCAACCCCATGATTGTGTGAAAATGGGGGCCTGGAGCGATGGGCAATTCTTTGCTCTCTGTAGGAAAAATCATCACTTCACGGCAAGGCAACCGAAAGTTAGATTGTCTATTAGAGCACCATGATGTTCGGCTGAAATGGGATGAACGTTAACCCGACATAAATGTGAAAAAATTTTTTGATTCAAGGAATTTGAAGGCAGGGACTCAGGCAGGCTAAAGTTATCTTACCAAATTTCGGTTAACAACCGTAAAGTTAGGGAATCAAACCCAGAACTGTATATAGTGAAGTGATATTGTTCACTTGTAGTTAATCAGAGATGATGCATGTAAAAATGCTGTTTAATTTCCCCTTTTTGTTGTGTTTGAGAATTCGGAGCATAGTTATCAAATCTTGTATGAGACGGTCCAATATTTGGATCGTAGTAGGTGGATGAGTGAGTGTGATAATATTTATTTTTTAAAATAATATTTATTTAAAAATATATTAAAATAATATAAATTTTATTTAAAAAAAATTATTTTTAATTTCAACGTACCATACAAATTTTAAAATATAAAAAAATTTAAGATCAAACCTAATTGATTTTTCAATAAAAACTACATGGTTTCAATTTTATTTTTTAATAAAAAATACAGAAGGTTTGAATAAGAAAAAAACAATTAATCTGACTGAACTCTACTAAATTATTCATTGAGCTTTTAAACTCATAACCTTGTTCATATAAAGGATGATTCCTTGAACCATGCTGCAGATTCTATAAGTCACAAATCTGCCAACAATCAAGTATGTAACAGCTAGGAAATAAAAGGAAAATTGTCTGTGTATGTTAATTTTGCTATTTCAACTCTGTAACCATTAGGCAGCATATCCTTAACTTTAGCTTTCATTGTTAAGAATAGATTACGCAGGCTTTGTATATATATAGAATACTAATCTCTGTATTAAGATATTGAATGCAATACAATATTCTTCTCGTAGGTAAAAGCCAAAACAATATGTACAATAATCTATATTTAATATGATATCAGAGTCTTGATAACCAAGCGGTCACGAGTTTAAATCTCACCATCTCTATTTATTTGATAAAAATCAAGCATAAGGTAAAGTAAGTCTGTGCAAGTTTCAAGCTCGAAAGGCTTTCACTTGTGGAAGTATGTTAGAGAATAATATAAATAATATTCTAGAACCTAACCTAACAGTTTAAGCTTTTAAGTTGAGATAATTCTTTTATAGGTTAAGTTGCAAGACACTTTTACAAATGCTAGCCAACATATATAGTATAATCATGACCAATAATATCAAAACTCAAAACCATAGCTACCAAGTGGTGTGCGCAATAATCCCCACAATAAAAAACCCATAAATATGAGCTTTTTTTGTTTTATAAATTTTGAAAATAGCATTTGAAAAATAAAAAATAACTAGGAGTATTAAAAAAAGTAAGATAAAACTTGGTATGCATGAGGGATCTATTATTGTATTGTATTGAATGGTTGGATGAGTAATATGAATAGTCTATTGTTATGTTATATTAAATGCTAAATTGTTATTGAATGTTTTTTTTTTTGTGTATTATAAAGGATTTATTATCGTGTTTATTGAACATTAAACTATTACAGAATGTTTGTACGGGTAGTATAAAGGGTCTACTATTATGTTATATTGAATGTCAAATTGTTATGAATCATTTGAATAACCATTTCAAAGTATATATTATCATGTTATAGTGATTTCATAAACCGCCTCTATAACATTTAATTGGTTAATGATTAACTTCAGTTAATGGCATTTTAGAAGGATGATCAGGTTGTGTTTTATAATTAGCTACAGTTAATGGCATCCGAGATGGATGACCGCGTTGTGATTGATGATTAGTTTCGGCTAATGACATTTTAAGTAAATGACCGAGATTGATAAGTGATTAGCTTCGGCTGATAACATCCTAAGTGGATGACCAGGATGAATAAACGATTGGCTTCGACTAATGACGTCCTAAGAGGATGGCCAGATTTGGGAGTTACGAGTTAGTTTTAAGAATTGATGCGTTCATATGTACTATGTTTTGTATATATCAAGTATATAAAAGAACTATGATTGTTATGCTTTAAACAAAGAATAACATTATTTTGATTAATGGTATTTGAGATGGATGACCGGGGTTTAAATATTGTAATTAGCCTCGATAATTGATGAATTATTAAAGGTGATATTTATATAAGAAAGGAGAAATGAAAGAATTATGCTTTTTTGGTCAATGAATGAAATTGAACATTAATATTGCTTTATTATGCTTTTTTAAATTGCTTATAATGCTTGAAATTATCTTGTATTGTAACAGGACATCATACCAACATGTGCATAAGGGAATCCGTTTCACGGCCCACACATTTTGAAAAGAACTATATATTCGCATGTTATGGGTGATATGAGTTTTGTATGAACAGACGTATTAATTACTCAATTAGTCGTCCGACCCTTTTTGTAAAGACCTGTAATGAAAAATTGAAATGGAACACAGATATCTATTTGCGAACATGTAGATACGATGTGTATGAATATATGTATGTGATATTCTTTTTATGAGGATGTTATGTTGTGAAATTACATGAGGTCAGGATAATGAAATTAGTAGTTATATAACTTGCCGTTCAACACTCTTATATGAACTCGTGATGATAACAAGACTAGAACATGAATGTGAATTTATGAGTATGTCAATATGATGTAATGTAAACCTATGAATATAAAAATATAATATTATAGGCATGTATATTGAGAATTCGTTTTATGGGAATATTGATTTATGTTATCTTACATGGATTGTGTCTTGTTAATGAATAGAATGCAACTATAAATCAGCAGAATGATATGGTAAAAAATATCCTGAACCTAACAATTTATAAAAAAATAAAAATTTCATCAATTTTGGCCTTGAAAAAGTCGGGTTGTTATACTCTATGTCTCACCTGAAAATCTCTATAAACTCCAACAAAAGTTTCATGACTAACATCTCCATGAAAAATCTACATGGTCTATATCATCAAATCTTTATGACTATATAAAAATCTTAGTGTTCCAAAACATGTCTCCAAGAAAATCTTTGGTACTTTTTAAAAAATATTTCCATATCTTTATTATGTCTCCATAAAGATAGCACTCACAACCATAAAGGTAACATATGTCTACGAAAAGTAACTTATATAATAAGAATTTTCTCCCCATTTCTAGCTTAAGTCTTTCAAATATATCTGTTTAAAAAACTAGAGGGGGGGCAATGATGATATAAAAAAATAAAAAATAAAAAAAATTATTTATAATTTTTTTTTAAATATAGTCACTAGAGCTAAATGAATAGTTAAAGTCATCTAGACCTAGCTCGAGTGACCAAGCATCTTGATTGCCTCTTTTTGAGGTGACCACTTGGGTGATCTTGGCCACTCTCTTTTTAGATAACTAATATAACCGCTCCTTTTTAGATGATTGGTTAATAGTTCTTTTGACGACTAATCAATTTTTTTTTTATGATTTTTCTTCTATTCTTTTCTTTTTCTTTTATATTTATACATTTATTTTATCTTCCCAAACTTATAATTTTGATGTAGCACACATAATTCTTTGCATGCATAAATTTTTTACAAACAAGTACCATTTTCTATCACTAATAAATACATTTATACTATACCTACCAACCACAAAAAATAAATGAATTCCATCATGAAGACTTGGCATACCAACTTCCCCTCTAATCTTGTGCCCATGCAAGACAAAATATATGGAACAACATAACATCAATCAATGAGTTACATGGTAGGCCAATGACACAATTCCTTCTCCATGAAAAAAAGTTAAAACTAGGTGTACGCCCAAACTCACAAGCAGGAAGGGGATTAACTTCATAGCCGCATACTTACCACAACAAAGCCACATGAATTCTCCATACAGAGTCATGCTAACTTCAATGCATTATATCCTCCTTTCACACACACACACACCCACCCACCCACGCCAATGTAAAAATCCATGAGAGACTGGTTTACAGGAGCAACCAGTGTATCCTATCTTTAGCATAATGTGATTTGATGCAATTAATTTCCTTCCTTTTTTTAATCCATCATAAGCATAGCCAAAATAAAAAGATGATTATACAATTGTAAAAAAAAATGACAACAAATGGTAAACAACCTATGTTTAAGTAGTGTTTATATATGAAATCAAGAGCTTAAATCTTCTCCATTGTTGTTCCTAATTGGTGTTATTTTTATATCCTAACACCTGATCATAACTACTCTTCAAAAGTTCTTAAACTTCGTCCGAACATGGGTGTGGTGTATCTAAATAAAAGGATGGTGTAATGTAGGTACAAAGTTTCAATATGCCGGAGTGTGTGTGTTATAATCCATATATCCTTTTATTTTTATTCAAAAAAGAAAGAAAGAAGGTTTACATTAATTATAAACAAAAATATGGGTCGGTGTAATGCGACTATTTAGTCATTTGTTAGCCCTACATGATGCGGCCCTAAGGTCCACAAAAGAAAGCCGATACAATATAATAAAATGTTCACAGAAATGATAGAGAAGCCTCGAAGAACTTGGGTGCAGGAATGATAGAGAAGCCTGGAAAACTTGGGTTGAGCCCTACAATCTAAATTAAACTTAGGTTAATAATTTCCTAGAACTTTAAATATAATTTGTGGTTTGGAAGGGCGCCTTTGTCATTCTAACACAAGCATGCTTTTCTCTTCTTCTTTTTTCTCGAGTTGCCATGATTAAATTCTATAAAGTCGTATAGTGAAAAAAAAAAAAAACACCTTAAGTGTGCATCTTATGGAGAATATAATAGCTAAGCTAGCATGGCCTTTTGTCAAAAACCTCTAATTGACAACGCTGTGAGGTTAATTTGTTCCATTGTTTGTGACTTGACTCTATGGACGTTGATGGCTTTGAAATGTTTTGTGCTGATCTTAAAACATAAAGCAAGGTTGCTGTGTTATATCATAACCTATGTGTTTAGTTTCCTCTTCAAGAGAAAAAATATGGGCGGCTCTATAGTATCAAATTTGGGGTTCATGGGTAAGTGTTTTCATTGGTGGAGCATGAGTTCTACATTGAATAAAAATTAAAAAAAAAATATAGAAGTTGTCTGTATTTTAATTTTGAAAAATTGAAACTCAGAATAATTATACAAATGAAGGTAATTTCTTCTTTATTTAGTAATATACTTTGAATATATTAAACCTATATAATCCCAACAAAAACCTAACTCCATAACATCACACGCACTGCATAACATCCGTATTTACTTACATTTAATTTTATGATTACTTGGTAATTAATGTTTTAATAAAATAT